TTGTTTTAAAAAATCAGAAGTGTCTTTGGGACGAGACTTTGAAATGGATTTGTTAGACCGCCTCTAGGAATCTTGTCCAGTAGGTTAGAGGACGTGGAGAAGACTTTGATGGTGAGAAGAAGGAGCTCTTGTGCCAGATAGGTTTTATGTAAAAGACATTCTCCTACAACGATCACCATTGTTTTGTGAGTACATTGTATTCCTCATTAATATATATGTAGTTGAAAATGCTAAGTACTTTCCTGAAAATAGCTGTAGTTCAATGGTTGAGCACTTGCCTAACATGCTTGAGGCACTGGGTTCCATCCTCAGCACCACATAAAAACAAACTAATGTATCCACCTAAAACTAAAGAAACATAAATAAATAAATTTTTTTTTTAAATAGCTAGATATTATAGATGTTCTAAAGTGCCTGGGATATGTAAAAAGTAGAAGTGGAAAATATAACACATTTTGTAAATTTTTAAAAAAGGATACCTAGAATACTACTGTTTACAACAAGAAAGACTTGAAAACAATGTATCTTCCATCAAGGGAGGAACAGTTCAGTAAGTCAGAGCTCCGCTGCTCTGGAACAGTTTGTCAGTTTCCTATAAAACCTAATGTGTGCCTACCACGTAACCTAGCAATGTATTCTTAGGCTTTTATCCCAGAGAGCTAAAAACCCATGCTCACAAGAAAATCAGTATATGAACATTCATAGCAGCTTAATTCATAACAGCCCCAAACTGGAAACGACCCCCAATGCCCTTCAATGGATGGAAAGTGGTATATCCACGTCATGAAATACAACTCAACAATATAAAAAATAATAAGTTTTCCAGGCACGGTGGCACAGGCCGGTAATCCCAGCATCTCAGGAGGCTGAGACTAGAGATCACGAATTCAAAGCCAGTCTCAGCAAAAGCAAAGGCCCTAAACAACTCAGTGAGACCCTGTCTCTAAATAAAACACAAAATAGGGCTGGGGATGTGGCTCAGTGGTCGAGTGCCTCTGAGTTCAATCCCTGTACCAAAATACTCATAATAATAAATTTGAAAAAAAAAAACAAAAACAAACAATTATTGGTACATACAACTTGGATGGATCTCAAGGGAATTCTCCAGAGCAAAAAAAAAAAGGAAGAAAAAACCAATCTCAAGATGGAGCGCACTATATGATTTGACTTGCATAGCAAGCTTGAAATGAAAATTATAGAGATGGAGAAAGGATTAGTGGTTGCCCCGGGTGAGGTCGGGCATGTCTATGAAGGGGTATCACAAGGATCCTTGTGGTGACAGAACAGTTTTGTGTCTTCGTTGTGGTGGCTGCTATGGGAATTTACACATGTGATAAAATTGCATGGAATTAAATAGGCACCCACATCACACACATGCGTAAATGAGTGCCTATAAAACTAGCAGACTCTGAACAAAGTCTGCAAATTGTACCAAAGTTACTTTCCTGATTTTGATGTTGTATTGGCTTTTTTTCTGTTGCTCAGGATAATTCCCCTGGAGATCCATCCAAGTTGTGCATATCAATAGCTTTTTTCAAATGTATTTTTAAAAAATATATTGCTGAGCTGTATCTCGTGTGGATGTACCATAGTTTGTTTTAACCATGCATCCATTCAAGGGACGCTGGGATTGTTCCCAACTTGGGGCTATTCCAAATAAATTTGCTATGAGTCTTTGCTTATAACCTTCACAACAGGAAAAAAAAAAAAACAGTTTAATACTTAGGATTCTTTTCAATCCTCCAAATGACTATTTGTTAACATAGAAAAAATAATAGTAACATATTGCTTCTAAAAATCAAAAAGCATGTTGCAAAACAATGTAATCCCATCCTGGCCCAAAAATCCTATTTCTTTTTAAAAATATTTTTATTAGCTATTGAGGGATCTTTACTTATTTATTTGCTTATATATGATGCTGAGATTCGAACCCAGTGCCTCACACGTACCAGGCAAGTGCTCTACCACTGAGCCACAACCCCAGCCCCCCCAAAATCCTATTTCTTACATGTGCAAAAGCAGGATAAACATCCAAGAACAGGCAGGAGTCGCTTCTGAGAGGGGAGATCATAATCTCCCCTTTGTTTTCCTTGTCTACAGTTCCTCATGTTCTCCCCCAAAATTGTAATTATACATTTCTCAAATTGCATTTACTCCGAATAGTTTAGAAATTCACATCTTTCGAATATTTTATATTTGATAAACAAATACAAAAATCTGAAATTCAAAGCAGTCCTCCACCCTGAAGACGCCCCCTCTCAATTTCCAGCTACCCACAGGTACCACTGCTTTTAGAATTCCGTGTCTCTTCCAGAGTTTCTCCATACAGATATAAGCAAACAGAATTTCCCCCCACTTTATACAAAAAGTAGCCCACCCTATGTATTGTCCTGCATTTGCTTTTTTGTGTGTGGGGGGAGGGCAGGTACCAGGGATTGAACTCAGGGGCACTCAATCCCTAAGCCACATCCCCAGCCCTGTTTTGTATTTTATTTAGAGACAGGATCTCACTGAGTTGCTTAGCGCCTCTCTGTTGCTGAGGCTGGCTTTGAACTTGCGATCCTCCTGCCTCAGGGATTACAGACCCTACTGTAGCCAGCCAGTTTCACTTTTCTTTCTTTTTCTTTTTTTTTTTTAGTACTGGGGATTGAACCCAGGGACGCTGCACCCCTGAGCCACATCCCCAGCCCCACACTTTGCTTTCTAAGCTTGAAAATACATCTGGGAGAGATTTGCATAACAGTGTCTAGAGAGACTCCACTTTTCAGCCACATACTGTAACATTGTAGAAATAAGCTAGAATTGATTTAATAGTCCCTATTTGTAGCCATTTGTGCCAGTTCTAGCCTTTACTCTTATAAACAATCCAGCTGGGCTGAAGCGGTTCCCACAGAGCAAGTTCCCCATTTGTTCATTTGATTATTGGGTTATATGTTTCCTTTTAATTTCTAGAAACTCTTTTGTAATAGGAAAATCAGCTCCTTGTCTATTACAAGCTCAGTACTTTCTCTTTGGGTTTCTGGACTTTGAGTCCTAGCTAGAAACCCCCTCCCTATTTCAATGTTATAAAGGAATTCTCCTGCATTTCTTCTGGTAATTTTATAGTTTCATTTTCACATTGGAATCTTCAGCCTGTCTCATTGGTCTTAGGAGATAATTCGAGAAATAGATTTGATTTTACTTTTTCCCCAAATGGTCACCCATTTTTCTTAATACTATTTATTAATATGTGTTCATTTTAAAAGAGAAATGGAGTCTTTGGAGTCAGAGTGCTGGGTTCTCACTTATTTGGCTCTTTGGCTTTGTTTGGCTGTGTGATTCACTTGCCCTCCCAGAACCTCAGAGAAAAGACGAAAAGACATGGGTTGGGGAAACAACTGAATGAACAAATGGGAAATATTTCAGGTATGAAAGCAGAGACCTCAGTAGAAGAGGACCTAATAGTATAGAAGACCCCTGGCCGACCCCTGGCCGACCCCTGGCCAACCCCTGGAAAACTGAGGACCAGCAGGCAAGTGGATCTGACCTCCAGAGTCTGGATCCTCTAAGGCCAGGTACCAAGGCCCTTCCATGCTGCTCCTAGGCAAGCACGGAGGAGGAGCCTGACCCCACAGCACAACTGGAGAAATCAAGGCCAAAGCAGAAGTGACCCCTTCCCCCAAGCACCCCAAATAGAAGCCGTGGCTTCTGCCCCCTTTCCTAGGGGCAAACCACCATCGTCACTTCTGCATGTGACCTCCAGGTGCCCTTCCTATCCCTTCAGAGGGGCCCCATGCACATCACCCACACCCTGGGCCATCCAGGTTCCTCCCCTGAAATTTACTGCTTGGAGCCCTTGGAGAAGTAGAAATCCCTCTCCCTGACTTCCAAGACGGTTCCAACAGGCTGCCAGGAAGCTGAACCCCAGGAGAGAGGCATTGGCCTGGGGTTCTGCAGCAGGCCAGTGGCCAAGCTGGGACTCCACTCAGGTCTCCCAATTCCAAGTCCCCGCTCTACGCCCTGCATGCTGCAGCCTCCCCAAGATGGCTGGACAACTGAGTTGCTGTCTGGACAAATACAAAGCTATTCAGGCCAACAGAAAAATGAGACGCATGTGACACAGGACAGAGCCTTCCCAAGACGTGAACTTGATAACCAGCTCCTGTACTCAGTGCCCAGCCGAGGGAAGCTGGGCAGGGGAATCTTGGCTCCCTGGGCTTCAGATTTTTTCATCTGTAAAATGACACCATCAAGGAGACTTATTTCCCAGAGAGAGCGAGAGAGAGACTGACTCAACCAACCATTTCTATGATCCGCACTCCTGGGAACCAGGCTCTAACCCAGGTCCAGGCTTGGGAAGCCCTGCCTTCCTCCCCAGACCTGGTCCTGGTCCCCAAGCCCAGCCTCTCCCCCACAGGACCAGGGCCTGCAGAACCAGTCAAGCTCCTGCCCAGGGCCCCACCTGCCTCCGCCAAACAGCCACCTCTGCAAAACACCACCTGGAGCCCCCGTTTAGGCCTCCCCGACCCAGAAGAGAAGCAAAACTGTGGTCTCTGTAAAACTGCCCTGTGAGATGCTCTTATCAGCCCCTTTCATAGATGAGCAAAGGAAGGCCACAAGCAGAACCCAGCAGGGGGTCTGTGACCCAGCCATCCCCAGGGCCATGTCCCCGAGACACGATGTCCCCAGACTCCAATCCAAGGTGCCTGGAGAGGAATCTTTTCAATCCTGGAGTGCCAGTCCCATGCTGGGGACCAGACAGACAGTCCCTCATCCCCATCACTTCAGGTAACCAGGCTAACCCGTTTCACAGATGAGGAAACCGAGGTCCAGTGAAGCTAAGTCCGGTAACTTCCCCAAGCCCACGAGAGGCCACAAGGACTTGGACCCAGTGTTTAATCTCTCATTTCAAATGGCTTCTTCTAAAAACAGGTCTCTACTTTCCCCCAGACTTGGAGTTGTCTCCCAAAAAGGGAAAGAGGATGGGTCCCGGCTGCTCCTAGGAGGTCCCCAAGTCCCACCTTGGCAAGGGCACATCCAGCAGCGGGTAAGGACAGGGCGCCGCTGGTGAGGGAGGAGAGTCCCCGAGAGCACGAACCTGGAAGCTGCTGCCTGGCCTCTTGGCCCTGCCTCGCTGCCGTCCTGCTGCTTCTGCAGAAGAAGGGGAAGTCAGGAGGCTGCTGCGGCCTCTCTGCGCACCCCACGCCCCTCGCCTCTCCCTTCTCCCACCTCTCCACGCCCCACACCGCACAGCGCTCCCCTCACTTCTTCTTTCCCCGTAACAGCCTCTGCTTCCTCCCGGCCCATGGCCTCGCCAAGCCCTCCCTGGGCCCCCGCAGCACTTCCGGGGCAGCTGCCCCTCTGCAGGCATGCATGAGGTCTGGGTCACCTGGCTGTGCAGAGCACCTCTGCTCTGCGCCCTTGGGGGAGCCATACTACTTCCCTGGGCCTCAGTTTCTCCACCTGCAGAAAAGGCAGAGGGAGCCCCGCCTGACCTGAGAATCCAGGCCACTGGCGATGGCAGGGACCTCAGGCCAGGGCTGGCTCTGGTTGCCTGGGTGCAAGTACCACCGTTCGGGCTGGGTGAGTTGGGGCAAAGAACCCCAACTCTCCAAACCTCAGTTTCTTCTCTGGAGATGATGACGGTACCCCCCCGTGGGTGGGGGTTCGTGCAGGGCTTATCTACCACAAGCCTGGCAAAGTCACCGGATGTGCTTCACAGGCCACTATGATTCACACACAGGGGGAACCTGAGGCCCAAAGAGAAGGCGACCTGGCCCTAAGTTACCCAGTAGCAGAACCCTCAGGGAAGGGCCTCCCAGGCAGCAGAGCTCCCTGGCAGCAGAGTTAGGGAGAGATAGGGTGCTGACTCTTGCCTGGTCCCCACCCAGACTCCCTGGGGAAATCATAGCTACAGAATGTGCTGGTCCATGCCCAGAGGAAGATGGAGAAGCAGCCAGAGAGAGACCAGAAAGGCGCCGCGGCCTCCCTCCTCTCTGTCCCACCCTCTTTAGCCCTCTAGCATAAGCCCTAGCACAGAAGGCTCTATGGTGGCCCCGTGGCTCTGCAGGGAAGGAGAGAGGAGCCGCTCCTCAGAAGGCAGCCATGTCCCCAGCCCCAGCTTCAGTGCAAAGACTGCAAGAACCCCAGTGCACTGCGTCCTGACTCTGTGGCCACACCCCTGCTGGGTGACTTGCTCAGCCCTGGCCTTTCTTGGTACTTCGTTGTGTTGTGGTACTGAGGAGGGAACCCAGCATAAGCTCTCTACCACTAAGCTACACCCCCAGGCACTGTACTTTGGTTTTCTCTGACCATAACCCAGAACTTGACCTCTAGGCTCTTCCCGTCTGAAGTCTCCTGGCACCTCTAGGATTAAATCACCAGTGTCCTGCTTTCTCACACTACATGGGAGCCTGAACAGCTACTCTCAGGGGCCAGGAAGAGGCCTGCCCCCTGCCAGCCCATCTGTGTCCTAGGCTGCATCTGTAGAGCCTCACTGTGCCCTGACTCGGCCGGGAGTGCTGGTTACCTGGCCCTGCACCCCCCAGCTGGCACTCACTCCTAGACACTCTCCTGCTCAAAAGCCAGCAGTAGCTCCCTATTGCCTTCTCAGTCTAACCCATCCAACTTGCTCCCACCCAGTTCTGGCGGTGCCCATCTCCCTGCTCCATCCCAGGGAGATGACACACACACACCCAGTCCTGGACAGACTCCTCTCCACCCAAGGGGTTCAGCTCAAGTCCCACCTCCTCCCAGAAGGCTTCTCTGCCTCTGCTGCCCCACAAAACCGTCTGGAAGCCAAGCATAGGGAGGCATGCCAGTGCCCTGCCCAGTCCCCCAGGCAAGATGGAGGGCCACATGCCATCCCTAATGAAGTCTCCCTGAGGCCCCTCGTGGGACATTAGAGCAACTGAGTCACACCATGAACAAGTCCTCGACTTTCCAAGTCTTTCTCAGTCAGGGGCCTCTGTGTAGTAGCCTCTTTCTTTTTTTTTAGTACGGGGGATTGAACTAAGTGGCATTTAACCACTGAGCCATATCCCCAGCCATTTTTTGGATATGTGTGTGTGTGTGTGTGTGTGTATGATATAAAATTTAGAAACAGGGTCTCACTGAGTTGCTTAGGTCCACACTAAGTTGCTGAGGCTGGCTTTGAACTAGCAATCCTCCTGCCTCGGCCTCCCGAGCATCTGGGATTACAGGTGTGTGCCACTGCACCCAGCTGTATGTAGCCTCTTTCTAACACTCATTTATGCCCCCCCCATGCTCTTCTGTCTTTTATTAGACCTCAAAAATAAGATACCTAATTTTACATTTTTATTGTGATAAAATATACATAACATGAAGTTCAGCACATTAGCCGTGTTCAAGTATAGAGTTCAGTGGCATGAAGTGCAGTCACACTGATGTGTGGCTGTCACCAGAACTTTCCATCTTCCCAAACTGAAACTCTGTCCCCATTGAACAAAAACTCCCCATTCACCCAACCCCATGGAGACCGCCATTCTACTTCCTGTCTATGAATTTGGTTATCCTAGGTACCTCCCTCGAGTGGAATCGTACAGTATTTGTCCTTTTGTGACTGGCTATGTCACCAGGCACAATGGCCTCAAGTTTCACCCATGGTGAGCACACCAGAACGTTGACTCTTTTAACATTCCACTGTACGAATATGCCATGTTCCTTCATCCGACGGACGCGTCTGCAGAGGGCCACTTGGGCTGTTTCCACCTTTTGGTTACTGATGCTCTGAACAAAGATGTGCCAACCACGTCCCTTTCTAACAAAGAGAAAATGTCTAGCTAGCTTTGAATGACGTTGTTGGCTTTGCATGCTGTTGATTTCTGATTTGTTTCTGTTTATGGCAACTAGTACAGAGTTCTGTTTACCCTAGTCATATGAAATAGTCCTTTAAAATGCACTTATACCCCCCCAAAGTGAAATGACTTAAAGAAAAACATCAAGTAAATAGGGGCTCAAGTGCTTTGTGTTGGTGGCTGAAAGTAGGGGCCTGGGTGTAGGACAGAACTGCTGAGCATGGGGTCTACTGCCTCAGACAAAAACCCTGCTGTCCTGAGTTGGGGACAGATACTCTGCCAGAGCCCCTGGGAGAAACCAGTAATGCATTTGGGGGAAGTGCCTAAGGGGCAATGTTAGGAGCAGGGGTGGCAGTGGTAAAACTGAGAGTCAGATGTGGGCTCTGAGGCGTCCTGGTAAGAGCTGGGGCCAACTCCTTGGCTTCTGGTTCCCTTTCCTCATGATGGAATGGGCGGTGGCAACACCCAGCGTACAGCGTGGGTGAAACTAGGTAACTCTGTGAGCTGCCCAGCACTCATCTGGGTTCTGTGAGTGAGTGGGTCCCCCTCCTCCCAGCCCACCTCACCTCACCCTGTTACTTGTTCACGGTGTGACTCACTTGCTCTAATGTCCCATCAGGGATCTTCCTTAGGGTCTCTTGCACAGAGGGCCCGATCGTGATGAAGTTATAGGCAGAGTTTATGTATACCAACTCGGCCTCGCCACCTTCTCTGCTCTATCCCCATCTCCAAAGACTCTGGGAAAGAATTCCTGGCACTTGGCTCAAGGCTGTCACTTACTGGCTGTGAGACCCTGTGTAAATCCCAGTCAAGAGCCTCTCTGAGGCTTCATTTCCCCAACATAAAGGCTGCATGCCCTGCTTTGCAGTGGTGCGTGCCCTTAATCCCTGCAATTCTGGAGGCTGAGGCAGGAGGATCACTGGTTCAAATCTAGCCTCAGCAACTTAGCGAGGTTCTAAGGAATTTAGTGAAACTCTGTCTCAAAATTTAAAAAACTAAGCCAGGTACAGTAGTGCATGCCTGTAATCTCAGCAGCTTGGGAGGCTGAGACAGTTAGGATCACAAGTTCAAAGTCAGCCTCAGCAACAGTGAGGCACTAAGCAACTCAATGAGACCCTGCCTCTAAATAAAATTCAAAATAGGGCTGGGGATGTGGCTCAGTGGCTAAGTGCCCCTGGGTTCAATCTCTGGTACCAAAAAAAAAAAAAAAGGTTGTGGGTTGTGTGCCCTAAAACCTGTCATGGTAGCACACACCCGTAATCCAGGCAACTCGGGAGGCTGAGTTCAAGGCCAACGTAGTCAATTTAGTGAGACCCTGTCTCAAAATAAAAAATAAATTAAAAGGCATGGGAGTGTAGCTCGGTAGTAGAGTGCTTCTGGGTTAATCCCCAGTACCACACTTTTTAAAAAGGGGGTGTCCTTGTCCTGAGTTCTCAATGTCAAGATCTCACAGGTCCAAACTGCTCAGGAAGCAAAGTCCAGCACAGTGCCACATGCTGTGCAGATTAGTAATCGGCATGTTAACCAAACTCCAAACTTGTATTCCCACAAAACCTGTTTCCAGTTGGTTATCAGCTGCTGTCAGCAGGCCGCCATGCAGAACACATACACAGCAAGTGAATCCACAAGTGAAACTGTAAATCTTGCAAAAAAGTGTGGGATTTCATGAAGCAGATGGGAGCAATACTGAGAACCCAGCAGTGGATGACCGCAGAGACACAGAACAAATGTAAAGGAAGTGACTGGGACCTTCCCAAAAGAAAGGTGGGGCCTTCAAAGGATTCAGAGTGATCCTCAGGTTTAAGGAAGCCCTCAAATTTTTGCAAAAAAAGCATCCTCTAGCTAAAAAAAAAAAAAGTGTTAGAAGGGAAGGATGCTTACATACCCAACTTTGTTAGGGTAAAAAAAAAAGGCCTTCAAATATTAGCATTCGATTTCATTCTTCACTCTAGCTTGTGCGTGGTTGAGATTACAATCCATATTTTTAGTGATGGGGTAAAATAAACATCGTCATTTTTACTTTTTCGAGGTAATAACCCATCCCAGCGGGGTTCCCTTTAATTCTGTTAAGTTTTGGGTCCTCTTTTTAAAAATACATGCACCTTCAAACGGACTTCCAGGGTACAGGATGCGATCAGAAGACATCCTCTCAACACTCCTTGCCTGTCAAAACATCAGTCACCCTACTGCCAAGACAGAGGAAGCCCTAAAGGGTCCTGCACGTGTCCCTTCGCCCCCAAACACCATAGAACATCTTAAAGAAGTCTCCACAAGTAGGGCCAGGTCCCCACTATTCCCAACAGGCGTAAGGTTGATTTGGCCAACGCTTTTGTTGTACAGAAAGGGAAACTGAGCCCCAAGGAGGGCACAGACTCCTTGGCCCACGTCTACTGGGTTACATCGCTGGCACTTGAAAGAACGCAATTAACAAAAGTCAAGAGTCACCGCTCCTCCACCTGGGAGCTGGGGACCGCGGTGCCCACTTCTGCCCCGGGACACCTAGCATGTCGCTGGCGCTCAGGCAACCTAAGACTTCGGGAAAGCAAGCCCCGTGGCCCCCGATCTGCTTTCGGGTCCCCGCCAGCGTCAGCCCCCACGCGAGGGTGGGGCCTCGTCGGGGTCCTGCTGCTCTCCAGCAGGGCCCGCCGCCGCG